CGGCCGCGCTCGCGCTGACCGCAGCCCCGGCGCTCGCCCCTCCTCAGGCCGCGCCGCCATGGGCAAGGGAGACCCCAACAAGCCGCGGGGCAAGATGTCCTCGTACGCCTTCTTCGTGCAGACCTGCCGCGAGGAGCACAAGAAGAAGCACCCCGACTCCTCGGTCAACTTCGCCGAGTTCTCCAAGAAGTGCTCGGAGCGGTGGAAGGTGCGCGGCGGGGGCGGGGGCGGGGGCGGGCGGCCGCCGCGGGCCGGCCGTGTTCTCACCCCCGCTTTGCGCCCGCAGACCATGTCTGCCAAGGAGAAGTCGAAGTTCGAGGACATGGCGAAGAGCGATAAAGCGCGCTATGACAGGGAGATGAAAAACTACGTCCCGCCCAAGGGAGGCGATAAGAGAGGAAAGAAGAAAGACCCGAATGCTCCCAAAAGACCGCCGTAAGTTTGGTTTGAAAACGCACCCCGCTGGCGCCTCGCGTTTTTCTCCTGCTGGCTTATTAGCTCTGTTGCTTCCTTTCAGATCTGCCTTCTTCCTGTTTTGCTCCGAACATCGCCCAAAGATCAAAAGTGAACACCCAGGCCTGTCCATTGGAGACACTGCGAAGAAATTGGGTGAAATGTGGTCTGAGCAGTCAGCCAAAGATAAACAGCCATATGAACAAAAAGCGGCGAAGCTAAAGGAGAAGTACGAAAAGGTATGCTGTTCGCGTTTTTAAAGTTAGGCGAAAATCACATTCACATTTTCTGAAGAATATTAACATAGATAAGTTGCAGCTGTTAAAGGAGGCCTAAATATGTTATTAAATGTATTTTAAATGTGAAATGGCAGGAGAGTGTGTGTGAAGTAAGTAAATGACTACTGGTAGTGAAAATACTTATGTTGGTCTAATGCAGCTCTCATTTTACCCTAGTTAGCTTTGGAAAACCAAAAAACTGAGGTAAATCCTAAGTATCTTTTTTAGACAGCTGTCAAGGGTATTGGTCAATAATTGTAGGTTGTTTACAACTAAGCGGCTTTCACTGTTGAGTAACGACACCGGATGCTGATTTTATTATTTTGACAATATTTCAGGATATTGCTGCATACCGTGCCAAGGGCAAAAGTGAAGCAGGAAAGAAGGGTCCTGGTAGGCCAACAGGCTCAAAGAAGAAGAATGAACCAGAAGATGAAGAGGAGGAGGAGGAAGAGGAAGAAGAGGAAGATGAGGAGGAAGAGGATGAAGATGAAGAATAAGTGGCTGTCCTGTAATGGCATGTGGAGTATATGTGTGCTCAGGCAATTGTTTTGCTAAGAATGTGAATTCAAGTGCAGCTCAACATTAGCTTCAGTATAAAAACTGTACAGATTTTTGTATAGCTGATAAAATTCTTTGTAGAAAAAAATACTTTTTTAAAAAATTCAGGTTGTAGCTTTTTGAGGGGCTACTACATACAGTTAGATTTTAAAGCTTTTGATGTTGAATGTTCCTAAATATTTAATGGTTTCTTTCATGTGTATGGTAGCACAACAAATTTGCAGGAACTAGTACCAATAGTAAGTTTTGGGATTTTTTTTTTTTTAGGATGTTGCATTTTGTGTTTTTTAAAAAAATTTGTAATAAAATTATGTATATTACTTCTATTGTCTTTGTTTTAATAAGCTGAAGTAGCTTTCCCTTAAAACACAAGCCAGGGGGCCTTGACAGATTTTTAAAGATTTTTGCCTTACAGTTTTTGTAAGGCACAGTTGGTTTAGTAGTTTCCAGAGAAAAAAGAAAACAAAACACATACTTTCTAAGAACCAGATCTAGAACTTAGTGAACTTTAAAAATCTGTGCTTTTGCAGAATAACTAAGCTTTGTCCTTGACATTTTTGTTCATTTATTACTTGTTCAAATAATTTTTTTTTTTTACCTTAAGGATGGTAAATCATAAAAGCATAAATATGTTGACAAATATAAAAATCATTAGTAGTAATGTTAAATTTTGTTGAAGTAGTTCAAAACTGGTTTTGAATTACATTTTTTTAAAATGCTGTGTAACTACCCTAAGAAAGTATTTGAAGTGATTGTGATGCTTCCTATCTAATTTAACTACATTTCACTAGGATTGGTACTTGCAGGGGAAGGCATTTTAGGAATGCTTGATGAGAGAGTTAACTTGTAAATTAAGATAACTATTTTGAATTATTAGAGGTTGTTAGTGAAAGCTGATCATCTATAGAATAAATGCTAACAGAAGAAATCTTGACATTTCATAGTTAAGATGTCACTATCTTATCTTGGTGGCCTATCATTTTAAGATGAAAGTCAAGATCCTGAGTACCCAACAAGAGCTTTGGTTGACCTATGCTATATTTGTAATGAATATTTCCTGCAGATTATTTTGTTTTTGTTAGTGAGGTGTTAGCAGAAGTGGCAAGAATAAAATATACTCAACATTTCAGTGATTGCTCTAATTATATCCTAGTGGTTATATATTAAATTTAGGGTTTTCACTGATCATGAAAACTAGTTTTCATTGTTGCCTGTTGTTAGGTGACTTAAAAGTGCTAAAATACTTGGGATAATGTTTTAGATACTTAACCAGGTGTGGGGGATCCCAGTTCCATGGCTACTAAGTGCTAGCTATATAAATTATTTCAGTTTCTTCTTTTTTTTTTTTTTTTTTTTTTTGGTTTTTCTCTGGTACCGGGAACCGAACTCACGACCTTGCGCTTGCCAGGCAGGCGCTTTGCCGCTGAGCTAAATCCCCAGCC